CAGAAACGGTTCTGGAGGGGTGTTACTCCTGCCAGAACCTCGAGACTCATGTTATGCGTTGAGTGCATAGAGCCTAGAGCAATACGCAGACAACGATATTGAATTCGTTCCAATTTTATTAGGTGACTTTTTCTTGCCGAGAGAAAGCAGAAAGAGAATTGAGAAGAGAGAACAGAGAGAATTGTTGTTTTATAAAGCGTTATGAGGTCTCCCGGATGAGCACCCCACCATGTGCCGCAAATTGAACGGAGAAAGTTGATCCTCTGCTGACATTTTTGCTTCAAATACGTAATATGGGCATTCCAAGTGCACTTTGAATCAAACCAGACCCCAAGGTACTTGAAAGACAATGATTGGGTAATGTTTCTGCCCAAAAGATTAAGCTGCATTTGGGCTGGGTACCGCTTTCGAGTAAACACTACCAGTTCAGTTTCTGCGGCGAGAATTCGATCCCTAGATTCATAGCCCAAGAAGACAAGTTATCTAAGGAATTTTGCAATGGTCCTTGCAAGTCCGCGGCATGTGGACCTCTTACGGAAACCACACCGTCATCTGCAAGTTGTCTTAGCGTGCATTGTTCTGCCAAACAGTTGTCGATATCTTTGACGTAAAAGTTATAAAGAAGAGGGCTGAGACATGTGCCTTGGGGCAGGCCCATGTAGCTAATTCTGGAAGTTGTCAGTTGTCCAAGGGAAAAGTTCATTTGCTTTTCTGACAACAAATTGTACAAGAAATTATTTAAAATTCCAGAAAGTCCACATCTGTGCAGATTGTCTGACAGAATTTCAATGGAAACTGAATCAAAAGCCCCCTTAATGTCCAAGAATACTGAAGCCAATTGCTCCTTGTGTGCAAAGGCCAGTTGAATATCTGTGGAAAGCAGCGCTAGACAATCGTTTGTTCCTTTGCTCTTGCGGAACCCAAACTGTGTATTTGATAGCAAATTATTTGTTTCGACCCACTGATCGAGTCTCCGAAGGATCATTTTCTCCAACAATTTCCTAATGCACGAAAGCATGGCAATCGGACGGTATGAGTTATGGTCAGACGCTGGTTTGCCAGGTTTTCGAATGGCTATTACTTTGACCTGTCTCCATTCAGGCGGTATAATGTTGTTTTCTAGTAAGGAATTGAATAAGTCTAGCAAGCGTCTTTTAGCGATATCTGGGAGATTTTTCAGAAGATTGAATTTAATCATATCGCTTCCCGGTGAGGAGTTGTTCGATGAAAGAAGAGCCATAGAGAAATCCAGCATTGAGAATGGTCTATCCAGAGAGCCGCCGCTAGGAGACGCTTCTCGAAGAATATTTTGTGCTGGAACTGAGTCCGGACAGACCTTTTTAGCGAAATCGAATATCCATCGGTTGGAGTATTCTTCACTCTCATTGAAAGATGAGCGGTTACGCATGTTGCGAGCCACCCTCCACAAGGTGTTCATTGAGGTTTCTCGTGAGAGTCCCTCGACGAAATTGCGCCAATAACCGCGTTTTTTTGCTTTGATTAATTGTTTCAGCTTTGTCTCAAGCTTTGAATATTCCTCGAAGTATGTGGAGGTTTTGTGTCTACGAAAAGCTTTGAAAGCATCAGATTTTTCTACATACAATTTTGTGCATTCTTCGTCCCAACCAGGTGTGGCTGGTCTCCTTTTAAAGGGTGCACTTGGAACTTTTCTTTTTTGTGCTTCCAGTGAGCTTTTGTAAATCAAATCGGCTAGGAATCGATATTCTTCCAATGGTGGAAGCGCATCTATTGATTCGACACCGATTGTCACCGCCGTTGCATATTTCTGCCAATCTATGTTCCTTGTAAGATCAAATGGAACTCGAGATGGTTCTGCAGAGTGAGGGGCACACTTAATTGAAATGATGATTGGCAAATGATCGCTACCATGGGGATCATTGATAACCTTCCACTGACAATCCAATGATAGCGATCTTGAACACAAAGATAGGTCGAGTCGGCTTTCTCGAGCCGGAGGTTTTGCTATACGTGTCGCTTCACCAGTGTTCAAAATAGTCAAATTGAAATCGTCACATAAATCGTAAAAAATAGCCGCTCTATTGTCGTCATATAGATGGCCCCACCCAGTACCATGGGAGTTCATATCACCCAGAATTAATACTGGGGATGGAAGAATCGAAACTAGATTCCAGAGTTGACTACGGCTAATGGAGGTTCTTGGTGGAACGTATACTGAAGCTATGCAAAGATCTTTGTTCTTCACATTTATTTGGCAAGCGACGATTTCGACGCCTGATAGAGCAGGAAGGGAAATTTTGTAGAAAGGGTAGCACTTTTTGATCCCTAAAAGTACTCCTCCATAAGAATCGTCTCTATCCAGGCGAATAATGTTAAAATCGTGGAAGTTGAGTTCTTTATCGGAAGAAAGCCATGTTTCACAGAGAGCAAATATATCACAATCAGAATTGTGAAGTAAAAATTTGAACGAGTCTAGTTTAGGCACTAGACTACGGCAGTTCCACTGTAGCACAGTGATCATACCTTCAACCTCGTTCGACGAATTATCCATCGAAAGATATGATTGATGCAAGGAGGGGCCATGAAACAGTCAATTGCTTAAGATATGATTCTAATGTTGGAAGCAAGGCAGAAACTAAGCTTCTAAGAGGGTCTTGTATGTTGAACATATTTAATATGAATTCCACAATGTCCGAAAAAGCTAGCAAACCGCGTTCGGACTTGGATTTCTTTTGAGAAGTTTGAGGAGCAGCTTTTTTGTTTTTCTTTTCTTTGTTGGGTAATGGCGGAAAATCCTTACTGCAGCCAGGAAGTGGAGCAGTAGGAGCCTTCGATTTAATTTTTTCATCCCCATTATCCTGGGAATTTTGCAATCCTCTGGGAGTGACTTTAGTTTTCTTACGGCGCACTTTCGGGGAGGAGCATTTTCGTTTTGAGGATCCGTTCGTTTTCAAAGGTGCGTGTACCACCGTAGAGTCACCCTCATCGGATGAGTCAGAGTCCGATTCTTCAGCTGACAAAATCGAAAATTGATTTTCATCTTGGACGGCTGATGCAGCCTTCACCATTTGTGCATATGACTGCTTGGAGCGTCCAGAGATTGAACGCTGCACTTTATCGGAGTGCTGTTTGTACATCGGGCACTCCTGCAAGGGGTGAGGATTCTCGCCACAATAAGCGCATTTTACTGATTCTTTGTGGCAAGAATCCTCTTTGTGGTTTTCACCACATTTGCCACAACGAGTTTTGTTGCCGCAATGGCTGGCTGAGTGTCCCAGCCTTTTGCAGTTGGTACAATTATATACCCTCTGTACAAACAACCGCACCGGAAAAAAAAGCACCATCAACTTTGACAAAGTTTGGGAGAACTGAACCAGCGAAAGTCACCCGAAACGAGTCTGAATGCTGATAAATTTTCTTGCCATCTTGCAAAGATACTGAATGCAGTTGCCTGACATCCAGTATCTGTACCTGCTGACAGATTTTCGAGTTTTTGAAGCAACCCGATGCTCGTTTTAAATCCTCGACGCTCAGACTCGCGTCGGAGACCACACCTTCTATCTCCACATCTCGAGAAGGGATGTAGATGTTGTACTCAACACTAAACAGCTCATGTTCAGCAATTTTATTTGCCACATCATAAGTCGGTGCTTCTACACGCAGTTTATTGAATCTCTCTTTATGTACCAAGATTCCCGGATACTTACGCAGCAAGTCTCTCGAAATGTCGAGAGTTTTCAAAGGTTTATTTTTAGGCCGAAAAAAGACAACCCATGGTCCTTTCGAAGACGGTTGATAGTATCTAGTTCGCGCAACGTAGGTATCTGAAGACGCCATAAGTGTTGCGCAAACGCGGTGCACAACCGCTTAAAAAGGAAAAAAATACTTCAAGAAACCTTCACCAATTAATCTACTTAACTACTAGTTGTTAATATTTTGTTGCCCAGTGTATGAACAACCAAACAAAACAATAACAAAATTATCAAAAAAAAAAAAAAAAAAACTTTTTATTAGTTGCAAGAAGTTGCACCACTATAGCCCTCACAACCCTATCAGGGGAGAGGGCAAAGCCACGCGCAAAATTCAATAACAAAAGCGCGGCAATGGGCTAGAGAAGACTATTGTATAGAATACTTAACACCGGCCGGTGCCGGCTGTGTGAGCTGGTGCAGCCACTCCGTTTGCTGCTTTGTTGTTGTTGCTTGCTGCTTTGGAGTGGTGATGAGATGATGACGGTGAGATGATAGTCCACCTATAGCGTCGCTAAAGGTGGCTACTTCCTCTGCTGACTGCGGATGCCTTGGGCACTGAACTTCGTCCACGGTAGGTAAAACGCGCGATATAAAAAAACCACTATGGTGGGAAAAAAAAAACTCCACCGGCTACGAAACTAATACCCGCAACGGAGACACGAACAAACTACGTCCGGCTACTTCAAGCTATCGGCGAGGAATGAGCTTATGAATTTGATGATCATATAAATCATTTCAATTTCAAGTCGGCTTGTGAGCAGTAGTGAGCTCAGTGATTATAATTTATCTTTCTTTTTTTTTAATTTATCTTGAGGTGTGTAATTGGAAAGTGAAGCTAAAAGTAGGATCTTTGTTAAATGTGCTAGAAGTGAACTAACTTCTATTGTATCTTTTGTGTTTTAATTTAATAATAGATTCCAGACTTTGTGTATCACGAAGGGTGAACACACTGCTCGCGTGAATTTTCAGTACTAAATTAAAAGTTAAATTATATTACAATTTATTTTTTGTTTACATTATTCTAATATTCTTTTCGCGTTGGACATCAGCGTCCAACGGGCGCTTTTAATATACGGCCTAAAGGCTCGTCTTTTTCCGTCATCTTTTGATTGAGTGCGCGTGACGAAGGACCGGTGTGGAGCTTCGCTTGGCCCGCCAGATTGCTGGTAGTCAAACGGGGTCGAGAAGAATCGACTGGCCTGCCTGCGTTCGGAAACGAATGATCGGGTAGAGTACCGGTCTTGCCGACATCCTCCCCCGCACCTTTAGTTCGGCCGCTGTTTGAAGAAGTATCCCCCGGCGACGCTAACGACTCGAAGCGTCCAGTTCGTTTTGGTCAGGAGACGAATTCGACCATCTCGGTGAACTCATCGCACGCCATCCGTGTGCCCCCGGCTGAAGATCACCAACTGACAGCCAACATAAATCCTGCGCAGGTATGTTCACCCATGGCCATGACACACAAATCAACACTCACACTTACACATACACCGCTATGCTGAAAGAAAAAAAGAATTAATATACATGAAAATGAATTTAACATAACTTACCTTTTGTAATTCATTCCCGAACCAAGAGCCCTGTGGTGAATCAGTCCATACGGTAATTCTTGCTTACCGTTCGCTTTGCAACATCTTCACTTCGAGCACATTCACTTTGCGTTCACTTTTCTTTATTTTACGTCCACCTCGGTTACCTTTATTAGGAAATTTGTGGCCATCTAGATGTGTTAGCTTCATTGAAAAAACCGTTGAGAATCCCCGGAGAATTTCGCTCATGCTCCTAGCAGTTAAGTCGAGCAACCTTATTAAACACGACCAGTGGTCTCTCGTTATCGAGAGTGGCGCATAAGCCACTGCGTTTGCAGCAGTTATTACAGAGGACGTTCTACGACAGTTACAAAATAAGCACAAATTATATATTTTCAGCAGCGAAAACATCAGGCAGTTATCTCAGAGGTGGAAAAAGAGTTATGCGTACGTACATTTCTTTCCCAAGATGAAACCGACAACTTTGGTGATCTGGAAGCAGAGGTTGAACCACACGTTACTAATTATTACAAAGAGATTAGTTTAATATTCAATTTTATTGTATTATTTTATAGAAAGCAACAGTAAAAGTAGAAGCTGCAGTTACAAATAACGCCCACCGTGAGTTGGATCGTGCACAGAGTAGCATACAGTCAATGCTACTTTTGACTCCAAGAAGACTACGCAAGCTTTTAAATCGATCACCTCACGGTGAACAATCGGGGTCGGGCAGACTAGTTGCCAACGAATCTACGGGACAAACTGCATCAGACGCCGAGTACTGTTTCATAACCGAATAGACTGAAGAGTATTTGGAAGATGAAGGAGACTCCAACATCGCTCACACAGCCAATTTTGATGTAATTTATTCAGCCGAGCATCTTGAGGTCTCTCCGAATAAGGTATTTATATAGCGGACAAGCATACGAGCATACGCTGTGGTAGACTCAAATGTAACTTTCTGTATTTTCAGCAAGACAAGCCACCGCGAGTTGATACCAAATCCTGCTCAGAAACGGAACAAACAAATTATGTACATTATCAAAGTGACGCTGGCGGTCATCTAGAAACAGAGGTTGAACTAAAGCATACGATAATTGTTTATAACAAGATAAAGCTTAATACTTACTTGATACTTGATGGGCTACGAATCGCCACGTTGATTCAACGCTGAACGAAGTACTCTTCTCCATTGGACTCGGTCCTGAGCCAATCGCTTCCAGTCGCCATGAACGTTTAGCGACCTCATGTCCTCCTCAACTGCAAATAGCCAACGTGTCCGAGGTCTACCCCGGAGTCGACGACCTCTACCGGGTTCTCTGCTGAATATAATATTTGCTTGTCGTTCTTCCGGCATCCGCAGTACATGCCCAGCCCACCGTAGTCTGCCGTGTTTTATAAGCTTCACTATATCCGTACCGTTATACACTTGGTACAACTCGTGATTCATGCGACGCCGCCAGATGCCATTCTCCTGTTTACCGCCGAGTATTGTTCGCAGCACCTTACGCTCGAAGACACCAAATGCTCTCCGGTCAGACTCTTTTAACGTCCACGATTCGTGGCCGTAGAGGGCTACCGGAAGTATCAGCATCTTATACAGAGCGAATTTCGTTTTCGTTTGCAGGCTACGGGACTTCAGCTGGCTACGTAATCCGTAAAAGGCCCTGTTTGCAGCTGCAATACGTCTCTTCACCTCGCGGGTAACATCATTATCGCATGTCACTAGTGTTCCAAGATACATAAATTCTTCCACTACCTCAAATTGTTCACCATCTAACAACACCACTATTGCTCCCACGCTGTCTACCGGCTACCATGTACTTCGTTTTGGTAGAACTTATCGTGAGCCCAATCCTCGCCGTCTCCCTCTTAAAAGGCACAAACGCCTCTTCCACTGCTCTACGGTCAATTCCGATGATATCGATGTCGTCCGCAAAGGCAAGGAGCATGTACGATCGTGTGATGATGGTACCGTTCCTCTGCACACCAGCTCTCCTAATCGCTCCTTCAAGAGCAATGTTGAACAGTAAGTTTGAAAGTGCATCACCCTGCTTCAATCCATCTAAGGTCACGAACGAGGTCGAAATCTCATCTGCAACCCTTACACTTGATTTCGATCCATCTAGCGTTGCGCGAATCAGTCTAATTAGTTTCGCCGGAAAACCATGTTCTAGCATAATCTGCCAAAGCTCATTTCTCTTCACTGAATCGTATGCTGCTTTGAAATCAATAAACAGATGGTGAGTCTGCAAGTTGTACTCCCGGAATTTATCAAGGATTTGACGCAGGGTAAACATTTGATCCGTCGTTGATCGGCCCTCACGAAAACCAGCCTGGTATTCACCGACGAAGGACTCCTCAAGCGGTCTCAATCTGTTAAACAGAACGCGTGACAGTATTTTGTACGCCGAATTCAGAAGAGTTATTCCTCGATAATTGGCGCACTCGAGTCTGTGCCCTTTTTTGAATGATGGGCAAATGAGGCCATCCAACCAGCTAGCAGGCAGTTCTTCGTCCTCCCATATCTTCGTTAGAATACGGTGGATTGCTTGATGCAGCTGCTCACTTCCGTGTGTGAAAAGTTCGGCCGGGAGCTCGTCCTTCCCAGCAGCCTTATTGTTTTTCAGCTCACGTATTGCCTTTTTAACCTCGTCTAGCGTTGGAGGCTCCACATCTTGATCGTCGTCTGCGATGTTTACTCTGTTCCTCGATACTCCCTCACTATCTCCATTCAACAATGTCTCAAAATGTTCTTTCCACCTGGCAGCCACCATTGTTTTATCTGTCAGCAAATTCCCCTCAAGGTCATTGCACATGGCGGGAGATGGCGCTGTTTTACTCCGCACACCATTGACAGTCGCGTAGAACCTTCGCATATCGTTCTGTTCCATACTTTCTTGCGCCTCAGCAATCACGCGTTCTTCGTATTGCCTTTTCTTTCTGCGGTGGGTTCGTTTCTCAGCTGCCCTTGCTACCTTGTACCACTCTCTGTTCAGCCGGGTACCAGACACTAACATCCGGCTTCTGGCAACGTTCTTCTCATCCGTCAACCTCTGGCACTCCTCATCAAACCAGCCATTACGTGGTCGTCTTTGAGCTGTACCTATCACTTCTTGTGCTGTTGTGTTCACCGCTCCGTGGATTGTGTTCCACAGATTGTTGAGGTCCTCGTTCACGTTGATTTCGCTAATCCGCTCATCAAGCTTCTGGCGGTACTCTGCAGCAACACCTTCTACTGACAAGCGATGGATATTGAAACGCATCGATCTCCGGTTCGTTGAATTCGTAACGGTCGATAGACGCGTCCGAATTTTGCAGACAACAAGATAATGATCTGAGTCAATGTTAGGCCCCCTAAAAGTCCTTACATCAATGACATCTGAGAAGTGCCGGCCATCCACCAACATGTGATCGATCTGGGTGCAAGTTTCGCCATTTGGGTGTCTCCAGGTGTGCTTTCGGATATTCTTGCGTGCAAAGTAGGTGCTACTGATGGCCATACCTCTAGCAGCGGCGAAGTTTATCAGTTTCAGGCCGTTATCATTGGTTACTGTATGTAGGCTCTCTGTACCAATGATTGGACGAAAGAAATCTTCCCTACCGACCTGCGCATTTGCATCTCCGATTACAATCTTCACGTCGTGTTTTGGGCACTCATCATAAGTTTTATCGAGACTGTCATAAAACGCGTCCTTCACGTCATCGGATTTATCGTTGGTTGGCGCATAGATGTTGATCAGGCTGTAGTTGAAGAATTTGCCCCGAATCCTTAATACACAGATGCGGTCGCTTACCGGTCTCCACCGCATAACACGCTTCATCTGCTTCCCGATCACTATGAACCCTACTCCATGTTCTGCCCTATCGCCACCGCTGTGATAGATATGATACTTGAAGGAAGTGTTGGCGATGGGATCCACCGCCCGGAATTCACGTTCTCCGGATCTAGGCCACCGTACTTCCTGAATAGCAGCTACGCTCACATTCACTTTTTGCAGTTCACGAGCCAAAAGGCCCGCTCGTCCAGGTTCATTTAAGGTTCTGACATTCCAAGTACCGAGTTTCCATTCATTGTCCTTATTTCGTTGCCGGGTTGGTTGCCGAAAATTCCATTCGTTGTTTTCTCTTTCTTCGTTTTTCTGAGTAATGTTGGGGGTTTCAGTATGCTACCTTACCGGGGTCGCGATACCTACATCATGTTGGTAGGGCTGCCACCTTAGGTGTAGCTGACGTGATACAGCATTTCTTATTCAGCCGCTCGCTCCGAGACAGACGCTGTTTGAGCCGCACCTCCATGGTGAACAGTACTGCTTTATTAACTTTATTTCAGGAAACGAACGTAGTAAAAGGAACAATAGCGCATAAAACTATATGTATCCTACCAGTAGAAAGTTACAGCCACAATAAACCGGTTCAACCAGAGAGCAGCGCCCATTCGCTGCCACTTTGGACTCCAAACGGCCTACGACAACTTCTCGAGCAATTAATTTACGGCAAGCAAGTATTGCAGAACGGGGAGACGCATTTGTTATCAGATTCCGGAAGAAGACTTGTAGTGGACACTGTGGCCCGGTACCATCTAGCTCAAAATCGCAAAACTTCATGTGAGGCAGTGAGCGACCTCAGTGACGTTATCATAGAAGTTTTCCAAAAAGAAACTAAGGTAATAAATTTCATTTGTGAAAATATCACATAAACGTAACACTTTGTTCGATAATAGGAAACGTATTACATACCTAAGATAAGTCGAGCTAATCCTGGAGGAAAATTATTCAGTCGAATAAATTATATTAGACAATCCGAGCGCAAAAGGGACCGGAAGGAAACAGAACACGTGACATCAGAAACAAACAAACGGTAACGCGGCTTTGCATGAACCAGAAGTCACATCTGCAGTGGCATTG